TTTTTTTTTTTTTTTACCGCAGATTTTAGTACTTGGACTTTTATTTTTGCGATAAGTTCTTTCTCATTCCGGCTTTTTAAGGAAACCTCTACGTGTCAATTGATGGTGGACTTTATATGGGGGAACTTTTTGTATATCACTTACTGAACCCGTAACAGCAAACTTGAAGTTCAAATATTGATTTCATATGGTCTTGTTTGAACTTCACTTTTCTTGTTTTTTCCTTGTAGGCGACGTTATATTTAGGAAGGAAAATCAACTGCATTCTTTTTCCCTTCTGCAGTGTGTGGACCTGTAGAAGTTGGTTTAGTTTTTAGTTCTCATTTTTAAAAAACCATAGCTTAAGAGAACTTTGGAAATTTTTAACATTTTCGTTTTTGGTTGTTATAATTTTCTGAAATTTCTGTTTTTACGTGGCGTCACCTGCGAAACTACCGTACACCTTTTTCTATTTAATTGAAATGTTTTAGTTGTAGGCTTGCCTTATGTACATAAGGTGCTCTAATAGTGTAAGAAGGCATTAGTTTTCAACTTGGCTAGAGGTTTTTCACGAATGGTAGAAACAAGTAGAGAGTTAATTTAATACGGAGTAGTTTGAAGTGAAAACAGTTATAAAGCCAGCAGCTGGTACTGCTGCTAATGACTGTTTTGATCCCTATTAGTTTTACTACTGCTGTAGCTCTATCCTCATTGTTTTATCATAACAGCAGGAAAAGAGCAGAAAAAAGTATGGATTTAAGCAAAAGGATTTCCTACTTTTGCTTTGTTAATTTCTTGTTTTCGCTTAGCTTAATACTTCTCCTTAGGGCATTATCAACGCCGCCGGCTAAGTGAAATATTTTACCTCGATTTTGTGTCATTTTAGTACGCTGTTTTCCCAATACCCGGCATTCTTTAGAACATGTACTTTTTTGGACTTTAGAATATTCGCTTTTTCCCTTTTAACATCAATGGTTAATGGTTGACATGTGATTCTATGGAGCTTTTTGGCTGCAAAGTTATTTTAAATTGCAAAGATTTCTTGGTATGGGTTTTAATTTACTGAAGGGTGAGGATAAAAAAGGAGGAAAGAAAACAGAGTTGAATTGCTTGATGGTTTTCCTTCTATTTTTTCTTTTCAAAAGCAGAAAATTTCAAAAGGATTTTGAAGGTGAAGGAAGCAAGAACTTTGAAAATCGAAAGTATGTTATTCCGGTACAGTATTCTTCTTTTTATAGTAGTCGGGATTATTTCAGCGTATCTCTTGTTGCCTTAGTCTATGATTGGTTGATGATGCTGATGTTGAAGGTCTCCGTTCAGTTTCTCATTTTGAAATATTGGTCTTTATTCGCCGTACAATTCTTTGATACTTCATTATTCTATTTCTAGTTCACAAATTCACAAACTTTTGCTTTGTGATTGGTCTTTAGGAATAATGGCAACCGATGGCTGACACCTCTGACTCTTTTTATTCATCTAATATTATAGCCGACTAACTTTTTACATCTGTACAAGGTGTAAGATGTGACGAATAATACGGATTCTGCTAACTCGTTTTGTTCTTTTCGCTTTTCATCCTAGAAAAAATTTTATCAGCGTAGTTTAGAACACTGCAAAGTTTTGGGTGGTGAGTATTTTATCTGCTGTTCTTGGAAATAATAGGATGCTCCAAGTAATTTTGGGTCATTCTTTTGGCTCAGTTGTAATTTATTGTTCGCTGTAGTCGCCATTACTTTTAATCTGTTGTCATCTTCGTGTGTGAAGATAATTGTTTACTTGTGTTATGTAGTGGACTGTGTTGCTCATCAGTTGTTTTCCTTGTTTTATATTCATTTATTTATTTATTTATTTTTTTTCGACTCTTGCATTTTCAGTTAGGCTTCCGACAACAATTTTCGATAAGAAGTTGCCCTGCTGCTATGGATTTGAAAAAATCGCTGGTTCTACTTTCTTTCATTTTCCTGATAGACGCGAAAATTCATCGCTTAGCTCTAACAGTCAGTGACTTAATTGTCTGAATAAAAAATCAGGATATATTAGACAAAATAATTTGTCATCTTATGAGTAGTTTTTCAGCATTACTCGACCTTGATGAAGTTTATATTGAATATTTTTCAAATTTTTTTTTTATTTTTCAATTTTCAGTTTTATTTGAAAATATGTACCAGTAATTTTTTATATGCACTCAAAAATTTTTTACATCTGATTTTGGAGTAACCAGATACTTGGTTGTTTTAGACATGAGATTTAGGGTGAATACAGGCGCAATATTCTTTTAACCTCTTTTGGATACGACACTAAGGGAACTATGGAAGTGAACATAGAGAACTTTGATGTTCCAGAAAATCTTTTTACCGCGAGGGAGCGAAGCAGTTCATCAGACTTTGTAATCCCTTTCTTCATCAAACTTCTTATGTTTATGATTTTTTTACATTTTTTTATTTCAAGCACTTGTGATTATTTGGAAATTGTTTATAGAGTTATATTGGTTTTACTCTTTCACGTGGGAAGCTTATTATTGATGGCATGAGATCCAAGCCACATGTTTGCCAGTTGGCACAGAGTAACAAAGGTTCTTTTTCTTCTATTTTTGCTTGGTTTTTATTAATTTCTATTTTGGTATTTGGTCATATGTATTTAATAAACTGTACACAAGCCTATGTAGGTTACGACGCTGTTTTTTTCCTTTATAATGCCACAAGCAAGTGGTTTGATATTGTTAGAACAGGAGCGTTACGAGATCTTCAGTTGTGTTTCAACCTTACAAGGTTTGAGTTTTTATGTATTTAATTTATTAGTCTTCTGTAGGACCCTAAGATGTTACTCAAATTTACCAGTCAATATATTCGTTGAGTAGTTAGTCGATATTCAGTTTTAACTATCAGAACATTGGCGGTAATTGTACTAATTCAGTAGAAGTTTTGCTATGCTGACGTGTATAAGTTTTTTTTAAACAAAATTTTTATTAATTTGAGTTTTACGAGTAATTTCCAGTAAATGAAACTTTTTTTTTCAATTGCTTGGATAATCCCATTTTCAAGTTGTTTATAGCTGCCCAGCTGAGCCTTCAGAAGGTGAGATTTACATGGGGCCTATCAAAGGGGTAAGTTGAAGTACTTGGTTTTTGTATATTTCTTCATTATTACTTTGTTTTAGCAGCGGTCTCATTACTTGGGAGGTTTATCTGTTTGCTTGTTTAGGACGTTTCGAATAAGGTGTTTTCACCAGCAAACGAAAACTTACCATCTACATATAATAATGTAGTTCCTCTGGATCCAAATGGTCATTTTTCAGTTAGTTTTTGCTTCTTCTTATTGTAGCTTCAGTTTCACTGGATAGGTGTATGACGATATTTATTCATTTCACTTTCTATATATGAAATCCTTTTTTCTGAACTTTTTGAACTGGTCTTAAAAAACCTTTTTCAAAATATAGTTTGTCTCCTTCGAACTTGGGGTTTTTTAACAGTTTAGATACGTGCAGAGAATTTAGGATGTTTCG